TGGTACTCGCCCCACAGGGTTGAAAACTAAAAATATTTAGTGAAAAATGCTTTGTGAATTGTGGGATTTGATTTCCAAATGCCCCATCTTGTCTGGAGACACACGGATGTCGTAAGCCTCGTTCGACTTTCTGCCAACTTTCTCGCATTTCGACAATTCGTAGTAAAACATGTTCATGCAAATATCTTACACGTCAGCACCTGATTACGTCATATATCATAAAGCAGTATTAATGGAAACAAATGAAGCAGCGCTCTGCGAACTGAAAATTTATCAGGTATTTATTGTATCATAAAAGTCTGAAACCTCTCCTCCAGTTTGACGTTCCGTATTTCCGCATCTGATCTTCTAGGACTCATTGCTCTGAAACCACGAATCCGTTTAGGACTCCTTGGATTGGTGATCAGCCCGTACACACGATTTAATGTCGTCGCCAAGAGCCAATTCTTCAGAGCACGACGTTCGTGTTAATAATTAAAAAGGCGATTTCTGCCTCAAAGGGGAAAAAAACAGAACGAGTCTCCGTTATAAAGATCGATTGCTTAATGTCGTTCACGGAAACAATCGATGTTCAAATTCCATGACGAAGAATTCGATCATGTGGTTCGCTGCCTTGTTTAACGACGCCTTTTTAATACCTGCAACGAGGCTGAAGACGCTAGTCGAGATTTTTTAAAATTCGTTTGTTTAACGACGCTTTCTCAGTAGCTCAGACTACACAGCGTCGAATGAGAGGATGACAGTGAATTGGAAAGGACGTGGAAGGAAACTGCCGTGGCCTGATTCAAGGTATTATCCCGACATTTGCCTGGGAGGACCGAGGAAAACCACGGAAACCCCCACTCAGGAAATCCGATATCCGGGCCGAGATTTGAACCCGGGACGTCCCGAATATGAAGCAGGAGTGCTAACCACTCGACCAAGACGTTCATTTTTTTTATTAGAATTTTTTTGGTGTTTCGCCCAGAAACAGCGAAAAATACAGAAGTAAGAGACAAGAAAGTTCACGTGAGATGGAGAGTCCCGTTTCTGAGTCACGACTTCGGCTTAAATAAAAAGTAGGCGGCGTGACCTTTAAGGCCGAGAGGTCATCGTTAATATCTCTTAACAGCTGACACGCAAGACAGGCACAAAGGAAATAAGAATAAAAGTGAAACAGGATAGTTCCGTCATGCGACTCGTCACACGGAGTTTATTTACGTCCTTGAAATATTATCCGACGTGTGGTCCAGCTTCATTCCACGACCCACAGACTGAAAACTGATCAAACCAGGAAGTACGAGGGGGTGGGGGTGGGTGGGGGGGTGTGTGGTAAGCGAGTCACGTGACATAAGCGTGGCGATGAAAAACTTTACAAAACGTTAGTCGGAAGATTTAGAAGCAGAAATGATCGTGTACGAGTGCGAGGAGTGGATTTATCTGGCTCTGGATAGCGTCTAGAGGCGGGTTCCCTAAAAGCCTGTGGATTTACTGAACCTACCAAAAAACACAAAAATTAAAACTTTGTCTGCGCACAGCAGTCAATAAAATTGAACGACAGAATTTGTGTTCTTCGAAAGATGGTTTTGAAATTGATTATTTCATCTGTTACAAGAACAAAATGGCGAATAGATTATTCGAAAACATTTCTGTCTGAAGAGAACAATTTCGGGTGTCAGTTAACGTTCCACAGTCTCCTTACTCTCTGAGGGGGCTCTGGAGGGGGGGACACAACGAAGAGGTGCAGAATTCTGATCCGAAAACCTTGAAAATGGGCCTCTTGAGCAAGCAGGCAGGCAGCGAGGATGTTGACTGGACTGAACTGGCTAAGGATCGTGCTTCATTATCAGACAGTCAGTTCTTCAGTTAATACAACTCTGCTACTTGAATTTAAACTAACTGCACACGCAAAATTAATACGACAATTGTAATGTCCTCACTTCCATTGTGAAAACACTGTTAACAGTTCTTCACGGAGAAGCCAAGCATGAAATTCCCGATGACAAAACTGCAACCTAACCTAACCTGCGGCACAGTACAGTCTTCATGGATCACTAATCACGTCAACAAATTTCCCGCTTTTATGAAACCAAAACCTAACCTAAAATATTTTCACCTCACGCCACATATTTATCGACATCATTACCTTAACAACATTATGAAATACTTTATATAATTCCTTATTCTGTTCTTCATTTTCTTTTTTGAACAATTCACAATAAATCCGTCACACAAAAAATATTTCTCGCTAAAACACAAATGAACTCGACAAAGTTTCCTCAGTGGCAAGCTAAGATTCTCGTCCTAGGGCGGATCGTTGACAGCTGCGCCACGCCAAATATTGCGGCCAGTTGCGAGACTATCACGTACAGAAACAGAGCGTGACGTTTTGAATTCTCAGGGACACTGCGCAGAGTTTGTGAAAAGGCGACGATGAATTTCAGTTCCTTTCATGAACAGAAAGAAAGAGGAGTGTCTGAAAATCGATTCCTGAAAATGTTCTCAAAATATTCCGCGTGTGTAAATACCACAAAGATGTTTTTTTTACGCAGTGTTACTTTGATCACCCACTTTCTGTAAGAACTGTGCGTTTTGTTTCTTTTCCTTAAAGCCTTATCCTCTGTTTCAGTGCGATCCACTTGTTCCATTTTTCCAACAAGCTTCGAACTTCTCGATTAATTTCTACAAGTGATTGCCAGTTCTGATGTGTACGTAACGCCGACATCCGTGTCATTACTGATTCTGTTGCTGCAAACGTAAATTTCCAGCAACTGTACTTACATGTTGAGCAATTATTTCGTACCCTTGCACCGCATATCGGCAGCTAAAGTTTTGTGCACGGTCCTCACTAAATGGGCTCTGTAAACACGCAAACTTTCAGGTGCGGTTTCGAACTGACAAACCAAATCATTCACATGCCAGCACCATATTGTGCACGTGTCTCCATCTATGGATGAAACCTGTAATTATAATCTTGTCTATCTTGTGCTGCCATCTAGGAAACATAACTTAAAATGTTTGTTATTCCTGATGAATTAGACCAGCAGCGACAACAAACATGTAACAAAAGAAGAGTGGATGTCGGGTAATATTATAGACATCGAAACTGATGAGATAAAGAAAAATATCAGACTTTGAGAACAGAAGTGTAAGAGAAGCAATATAAAGTAAGAAATGCCACAGAAATGGAACGCATTCACTTCTCTTACCCGACATGGTGGCCCTTCTACAATTTATAAATATAAAACAGTTGCTACTGCAGAAAAGTGGTCGAACAACACAAACAGCACATTCAATGTGTCAACAAGGAGCGACCTGAGCGCATTTTTCCTTACTCCCTTATCAGGCAGAACGGAAATGAATCACCGTGAAGAGTGACCAATGCTCACGTGACTGTTGCGCAACGTTGCCGGATTTCTGGGAGATTATCTCGCAATGAGTGCAGTGGTGAGTGTATTTATAATTTTTATTCAAAATCAGCGATGTAAGAATTACGATTTAGTATAAGAATCAGTACGAGATACATTGTAAAACGTTATAAATAATAGTAAAATATATTTTTTCCACTTTTTGACTTGCTGGTTTCAAAAGCGGCGATATTCTGAATCGGCGCAAATCGAGGTTTACCTGTAAATTATAGTATGAGTTGAATGCCTGTAACATTCTTGTAAAAAAAACTCAGAACCGGAAGTGTCCGAAAAGTAAACAAACACCAAACAATCGGACCGGAAGTTATGTAACAAAACTCATGAACGCAATAACAAAAGAAAAAGCTACGAGATCCCTGATTGGCTGGTCACAGAAACAACATTCAGAGAATACTAAGGAATCAAAGAATTATCAACCACGGCAAAAGACATTTGACGGTTCCTCACAGCGGGATGGAAAAGTTAACGGAAGTGACTTTGGCGTACAGTAAAATTTGTGGAGAAATGGAACATTGTTCCTAACAACACAATTGCGGACTAAAACAATACTTTCTTTGAATATTAGACTGCGAATAATGGAATATATCACTCCACTGTCACAGCTGAAAAGCACAAATGAAGAATATTCTTGAGTACATTCGGTAGGTCGGTGGTCTAAGTTCTAACCAATTGATTAGATCGGCCTAACGCAATGTAACATTTGAAAGCTTGGAGCTGTGGACGCTACTAATCGTGTCGGTCTCTCATTGTTGAATTTATAGCATCGACAACAATGCAAATGATTACATGAAGGCATTGTTATTAGGGCTTCAGTGTAACTGCTGCTTATGTTGCATTGTTGACTGATAAAAAATATAAAAAGTTAACACGATTTTATTCTGTGTCGGAATTTAATTACGCATTTAAATGTTCAAGTTGGAATAAATTAACCTCTGCAACGGCTCGAGGAAATGTTTTCGAACAGCAGAGCGGTTAAAAGAAAATGTGAAACGCCTAATGAAATACTTCCCTGCCTCGCTGGAGAGACGAAGCATTTCCATGTTTATATCGGGGACAATTACAGAAACAATTTTGCGAGTAATTTTTCTAGTCCTACGGTTGATCGTTTTCGCGTTTGAAATGTAAAGAATGAGTCGAGGACAAAACTGTCGCAGGCGGAATTCTCTGCGCCCAGCGCCACCTGCGTCGAAAGCGACAAGCTTTGTAGTTTATCTTTCGATGATATCATCAATGACTTTGCTTTCCACAAGCTTTAACATTTAATCTAATCTGTCATGCAGACGTGTTGTCATAACCTTTTTCGTCGTTAAGAAATTACGTGTTTATTTTTTAACGTTCGTCCATCCATTCAATTTTTTATTTCCAATTTTAGGGATCTCAGGGCCTCAGAGGGCCAAAGTCTGGCTCTGGAAAGTGGCCAACTGGAATGTGTACGTGATTCTGTTGCGGGTGAGCCGAAGGAATTTGTTCATTTAATACGTGTTGCAGTCAACAGATGGCAGTGCCTTCTGGTTTATCCTTCGGCTCGGGTCCCGATCGATGTGTGGGGAGTGCGTCGAGACTCGCGCATCCTCCTGGATGCAGCGCCGGTCTTCAGAGGCTCGCCGGCCAGTTCTGGATTTGCAATATCCCGTAGAGTCCGCAGCGCCTTGCCCCTCTTTGCGCCGCCGGGAGTCGACTGACAGTGACACAGTGCAACATGGCGGAGAAGAAGGCCGAACAGTACTACACCCCGCCGCCCAAACTGGGGAAATGGGAAGGATTCAGGATTTTCATCTGGAACTCCGAAACTCACCAGTTTCTGGGTCGCACCGGAGCCAGCTGGGGTAAGCGACGACTTTGATATCGCAGAATTATCGGGGGCGCCACAAACGCCACTGACTCGTAATTATTAGATTTGAGATCCCACCCCCGGGGGGGGCAGTGAAGTTGACGATGTTGTGGGTTGCCTACCGACGCGTAGTTTCGTAGGCAGAGACCGACGTTTCTCCGAAACAGGAGAACATTTTATACGAGTAGTTCGAGGTGAAAATGTCACTTGTGGTTAGGTTTCGCCTCTGAACACGGAGCCGACAAGACCGTAACTAAACAACGGGCGTCTGGTTCAATTGCTTCGCCCCGCAAGGGGCGAGGATCGACTTAAAGGGAATATTGATTAGGGCGTTCTTTGCGACAGCATTTCTCCAGAATGTCCCCTTCTTAATTTAAGATTAAGGACGACGAAACACGTTTTAAAGGAAAAAATCACGTGAGTCCACCGGAGATTTCATATCGCCCGTCTGGAGGCGTCAGAGATTGATTAAGATGATGGAATACAACCTCTCCACATCCAAACTGCTCTCTTTAAACCAACTAACTAACTAAGTAACTGGATGGCCTAGGGAACACGAAGGTTCATCACCGAATTAACCAAAGCTCTCCACTGGTCCCTGTTCTGAGCCAGCAAAATCCAATCGCCTTTAAAACAGAACTCAGCCTATTATTCCTTTATTTATATTAAAAAACATTTAATTTAAATTTAATTTCATTCGAAGAACATCTTTCAATGGTCGTGTTCGTTCTGCTGTTGTCAGAATGCTGAATAGTTGTCTCGCTTAACCTCGGAACTAGGTCAGCGATCGGCTTAACGCCCTGGCAACTTTGCCCCCCACAAGGAGAGAACCCCGGCCTCGGAACATTTTTGAAACCCGTCACGTCGTTTTGGGCATTAAACAAATATTACCTCTCAATTATGCAACCTCGCAGTACATGGATAACCAGGATGACCTCTAAGAAAACCTGTCCGAAGTATCGATTTATCGAAGCAGTCGCCAATTTTAATGTCCGCAAATTGCTGATGATCAAATATTCGCTGAGAGAGCCTTCCGTGTATTGAAGTCAAAAATCTTTTGTCCCAGGCCCCTCTTGTATGACGCATTTAATAAACTCGTGCGTTGGCCTTAATCTTCGGCAAAGCCCGCGAAAAGTGAGCGAATTATTCTTCTCATCCTTAAATCCAGGATCTGAGAACGAAGTTTATGCTTGATACTGGAATATTGTAATATCTCCTACCAAGGAAACTTAGGAATCAAAGCATTGAAAAGCTCGACTCTTTCGCAATATTTCATTTAGTGTTCTGTCTGACGACAGGTCCATATGAACAGGATCCTTCCATCCTTTTCTCGGACTGGGACCTGTTCATATACGTTCTTGGCAGATGATCCAGAAGTGGTTTGCCATTGCCTTCTTCTGTGTGTGAATGGAGTAATTGTTGGGATGCCACGGAGGAAAACTCCGTGTTGCCTAGACCACGGCCTTGCCCAACACAAGTTATAAATTCGGGCACCGCCGGGAATCGAACCCGAGACCCCTAGGATTACAAGGCCAGCGTTCTATCCGCTAGACCACCGTGGCTATCTTGCTGAAATACGGCGACATAATATATTTTCAAGATCGTGGAACATCTCCGGAAGAAATTTGAAAAAAAAATTACTGTTTTGGGGAAAATATATCCGTGCGAGAATTCTGTAGCCAATAATTTTGAGGCATTTGTTTGATATCCGTAATCAATTTTGTTGTAGTTATTTTAGCAGTAATTTTACGAAGCGATGAACCACGATTAAACACGTTACGAGGAAAACGTAGGCTACCACCAATTTCTCATTCTGTATGCGCGGTGAACGTAAACATTTTCATGCAGCTCAGTAACTCCTTTGTCCGTACTTTTTTTACGACTCTCAAATATGCACGGCGGATACAGGAAACTCACACGAAAAGTTGGTCGGGAAACGTGAACTTAGGAGATTTTACCTGTTGTTTTATATGGACGTGAAATTTTGTCTCTTGGTCAAAGCGAAACACAGACTGAGAACGAAGCGCCGAAGAATGTATTTGAGGTGGAGGACATTGCAGAGTGAGACGCTTCATGATTTCCGTCAGGCCCTTCAGTTCGCCAAATATTTTTACGGCGAGGATCTTGAGGACGCAGTGACGGGCAAACTCTTGGCTGGTTGAAGGATTATTAGTTTTCGTGGACGGACTTTGCGTTCCGTTCGTCCTTCCTCCAGGTCTAAATTACGTCGTTCGCTGCAGAGAAAGAACAATTGTCGCTTATGGTCAGCGATAAATTAATATCATTTTACATATTCAAAATATCTAAGAAAATATTCGCTTACTTTGTGTAATTTAAATGCAATCGTAACAGCAGATTTCTGTCTTCTGGGTTCCTGCCCTGAAGACGGAGGCAGTATGACCTCTGAAACGTTGGTTAACATCGACCCGACTACACAGCGCAACAACCCAGAAGACAGAAATCTTCATCGCCCTGATGATGGAGGCAGTATGCCCTCTGAAACGTTGGTTAACATCGACCCGACTACACAGCGCAACAACCCAGAAGACAGAAATCTTCATCGCCCTGATGATGGAGGCAGTATGCCCTCTGAAACGTTGGTTAACATCGACCCGACTACACAGCGCAACAACCCAGAAGACAGAAATCTTCATCGCCCTGATGATGGAGGCAGTATGCCCTCTGAAACGTTGGTTAACATCGACCCGACTACACAGCGCAACAACCCAGAAGACAGAAATCTTCATCGCCCTGATGATGGAGGCAGTATGCCCTCTGAAACGTTGGTTAACATCGACCCGACTACACAGCGCAACAACCCAGAAGACAGAAATCTTCATCGCCCTGATGATGGAGGCAGTATGCCCTCTGAAACGTTGGTTAACATCGACCCGACTACACAGCGCAACAACCCAGAAGACAGAAATCTTCATCGCCCTGATGATGGAGGCAGTATGCCCTCTGAAACGTTGGTTAACATCGACCCGACTACACAGCGCAACAACCCAGAAGACAGAAATCTTCATCGCCCTGATGATGGAGGCAGTATGCCCTCTGAAACGTTGGTTAACATCGACCCGACTACACAGCGCAACAACCCAGAAGACAGAAATCTTCATCGCCCTGATGATGGAGGCAGTATGCCCTCTGAAACGTTGGTTAACATCGACCCGACTACACAGCGCAACAACCCAGAAGACAGAAATCTTCATCGCCCTGATTACGGAGGCAGGATGACCTCTGAAACGTCGGTTGACATCGACCAGACGACACAGAAGACGGAAATCTTCGTAAAATATATTCTTCAAGGCAGTTTGTGTTTCTTTTGAAGCGTAAACTATTTTTTAATTACGAAGTGTCCTAGCATTCTGACCTTGCTAGACAATATCTATTTAAATATGTCGTTTACCCGCGTTAGGATTTTCTCCTGAAGAAGGCAGACTTGCATGAACTGGGTGAGTCACTTCCAGAGACGTACTCATCCTGTGGTGGGCCTCTCATGTTCCCCGGTACCTTCTGAACCGATTGACGCCCGCCCCCAGGGACTACGCCGTCCTTTTGCGTGTTTCTCGTATCGACGCGGAGGAGATTCGACGGCCGCCACGTAATATTTGGCGCCAGATATTCAAAAATATGCAATTTTTTTCTCGGAGATTTCACAGTCGAGAGACTGCAGCCATTTTCGGTTTCATTTTAACAGCAGTGAGGGTAACTAATGTGTGACTGGACACAGGTGTGTGAAATTGTGAGCTCAGCTGGATCACAGACACGCATTCAAATTTTGGAGAAGATAAGACGAAAGAGATACGGTAGAGTTGTCGACGTCGGTCGTTTCGGTGTAAAATACTGTTTCCATCGTCACCACTGAAATTTCATTCCAAAAATTTCAAACAGAAAACCTATGATGCTCGTAAAAACGATTATAAGAACGTGAACTAGGCCTTAGGACGTGGTTCCTAACTTACTCGCTCAGAATTATAATTCAGCCGCTCAACCAACGAAGAAATTGGCGGAGAGCTCAAATTATGAAACTCATTTTGAAATTTTCTCCAGCGAGACGCTGACGTAATCCACTACGTCACTCGCCAAGACAAACAAAAAGACAGTCGGCAATTAATGGCTTATATTCTAATGGCATTAAGTAGACACCAAGGACGCAGTTCCTAATACAAACAATCTGCTGACGTCCTGCGAGTTGCAGAGTGCACGGGCGCATGCGCGATGAATATGTTGTCCGTTCGATTTGGTTATGCGATGAGAAATTGAACTCGCGACCCCAGCGCTCGCTGACCTTTGTCGGCAGTCGCTGGAAAAAAAAATCAACACAAACGCCAAGAATTTATGACCAGAAGAAACAGCGAAGTGAAAATTTTGTAGATTTTTTTTTCCAAAAAAGTGTTTAAAACAGAACTGGAATGTTTTTTTTAGTAATTTTCCGAATCGGTGTGTATTTGACACACAGATATATCAATTAAAAGATTATTTTAACAAATTCGGTCTGCCGTGTTAACTCTGGGATCGTGGCTTCGAATCCCATTCGAGGCATGGGAGGACGTCTTTCTTGTTTCAAAGCGTCCTCTGAGAGGCGTGTGCCATCGATTTCCCACGTCTTTGCCCTGCTGTTCGTCCTTCCCAGTTCTCTCAGACACACACTCCATTGGCTACCGCCCTCAGAAATTCCCGTCATCACAGGAACGGATTCCCCTCCCCTGCGTGATTTCGCTATCGGAAACTCCTGCTTGATCCATGGGTGGACTCCCCAACCACGGCGCCTCACACACGCAACGCTGCACCAGACGTCCTTCAAGGGCTTCGACTCGGATCTCCCGCCTTTCCTGATCGACCGTCCTTTCAAAACCCCGACTTCAGAAGAATGGACTCGGATGCAGACTCGACGGCCAGCGGCATCTCCTCCGAAGCGCCGACGCCGCGTGGACCTGCGGGCCCCTCAACCCGGCCGCGCGACAACCTTTGTCCTCCGCGGCGAGTACTTCC